ACTGGAGAATTTGATGAGGATCCGTATGACGATCCTTGAGAATATGATTTACTAAGGGATGATATTCCCCTACCTCTGCCTCTGGTGGCCCATGAAGGTCCATTCTGCACAAATAATAAATCAATTTATTCTAAGAAGCAATAATCCAGAATTTCATCCCTAATAATATTAGTCTAGGAATGAATTCCATTTAAGAATATGATTATAATAATTAATCTGGTTATCAACAATCTCTTCAATTATTAAGTCAATTATGAAACTTTGTAGATCTCGATTTAATCTAACCACTTTAATGATAGTAATTAATACTTCTTCTTCTAAAAAGGTCGTATAAAAATTCATAATTAATCAAGGTATTCTCGGGATAAGAAATCCGGAAGGGAATTATCAATTCCTTTTTTGTATTGAATTTCAAAATCAAAAGGCGCTAGCTGAGCTTGCCATCTAGCAAATATTAACTTAGACGCATCATGTTTAAAATCTTTGTCAAACATATATTTAACAGATTGAGCATCAGTTTTTATTAAAAACTTTTGATTATATAAATCGTCTTAAAATTTTAAAACACATTTAACAATAGTCAACATTTCATGAGCCACAGTAGCATATTTCTTCCGGGCTTCGGTCCATTTACCAAAGTGAAATCTTATCAGGTATTCACTCTTATTGTTGGGATTTACTTGTTTTAAAATCCCTCCATAGCCAATGTTAGACGCATCTGTCTCGATAATTTTTTGACATGTAGGATTAGCAAGAGTTAAGAAAGGTAAAGACTTAGCACGTTGTTTAATACTTTTGATTAATGCCGTATGCTGGTCAGTCCAAGGCTTCCTATGATCCTTTTTCAGCCTATCGTATAGAGGGGCTAGATCACGAGATAAACTTTTGTAGAAAGGGGATATATAATTCAAACTTCCCAAAAATCTTTGTAATTGAGTCTTGTCAGTAATAACATCAGGAAATTTTGAGGCAAAAACAATTGATCTTTGTATTGGGATAATTTTTCCCTGCCAAATATTATGACCTAACAAACAAACATTTGTTTGGAATAGACTCATTTTTGGTTTAGAAATTACTAAACCGTTTTGTATTACAATTTTCTTAAAAATATCAAGATGCTTAATATGCATCTCCAATGTTTTAGAAAATACTAATATGTCGTCAATATAAACGATGATAAAATCTCGATAAGGGTTAAAAATATCATTCATAATTTTTTGAAATTCAGAAGGGGCATTTTTTAAACCAAATGGCATAACATTCCATTCATATTGCCCAAATGGAATATTAAAAGCAGTTCTATAAGTATGCTCTTTAAAAATTTGAATTTACCAATATCCAGATTTTAAATCGAATTTTGAAAATATATTGGCGTCATATAATCTAGATAGCAAGTCCCTTTTATTGGGGATAGGATATCTAATCCATTTTAGATGTTTATTTAATGGTTTATAATTTATAACTAATCGAGGAATACCTCGTTTCTTTTCTGCAGAATTATTAACATAAAAGGCAGAACATGACCAAGGAGATTTTGAGGGTTTTATCAAACCCTTTTGTAACAAGCTGTCAATCTCGTTTTTGCAGAATTCAACTAGCTCAGCATTCATCTGGCAAGGTCGAGATTTAGTAGGAATATCATCCTCGGAGAAGTTTTATTCGTAAGGAAGAGTTACAATATGCCTTTTTCGGTTCCAAAAGGCACTAGGGTGATCGGCGTAAACATCAACAACCATCTTTTCAGCAATCAATTTAATCTTTTGCTGAACCTTAACAGATTGTAAAGTATCAAATATATTCATGCTTAATATTTCTAATTGTAATGAATCAACATGCCTTTGTTTCATATTAATCAAGGCGTTAATATCTCTAGTTACGGGATCTGTAACAAAAGAATAACTTATCTTTTTATTTTGATAAGTAGCAGAAAAACCCTGTGCATCTATGTTATTAAAAGGGTAAATAGCATTAATAAAAGGGGTTCCAAGTATAATCGGAGGGTATAACGTTTTTTACCAAAAAAACGAAATGAGGAATACAGACTTTATTTTGGGAAATATGAGTATTTGGTAATTTGTACTTTATGTCTAAAGCATGACCAAAAGCGGATTTAACCAAATGAGTGGTCTTTTGAAAATATTTAGTTGGAATTAATCGTTCCTGAATGCAGCTTACATCAGCACCACTATCAATCATGGCTACATCAGTTATAGAAAAATTATTATCGATCAAAATAGTACATTTAATATACGATTTATGCGCAGTAATAATTTGCGTCATACTNTATACCATTTATGCGCAGTAATAATTTGCATCATACCTAAAAACATATCAGATTTTTCTTCAGTCAGATCAGAAATCTCTTTTCCTTTATCATTAGAAAATTCAGAAATTTCTTTCGTCGAAAATTCAGGTAGAGAATTATTTTTCTCAATTTGCGTAATTCGATGATCGCAAATCATTTGATTTTGCTTAAGAGACTTAATATACCTTTTCAAATTTTCAATTTCTTCTTTTAAATCATCAAAAGAAGCATCTCTGCTAAGCGTACTGGACTTATGAAATCGTTTATTAATTTCAGACAAAGAATAAGGCGTAAAATATTCAAATTCGTTCTTGTATTTTTCAAAAGGTTTTGAACTACTAGAACTAGAACTTGCAGCTAAATTAATAATTTTTTCACGAAGTTTTTCATCGGTAACTTCTTTTAAAGGTTCTATTACATTATTATATGTAATAGTTTTCATATTTAAATTATGAAATTGTGATTGTAATTTATAAAATTCGTCACTATCACAAGTACAAATATCACCTTTGCACGCAGTGCAAGAAGTATCAACATTTTTATCACTATTAGATAAATCAATTAAATCAACTTCATCTTCAGATTCAGTATCAGAGTAATCGTCAGATTCTGATCCTGAAGTGTATAACAAGCCATAAACCTTATCGCGTAACTCATCATCGAGTTCTAAGGTTTTCAACTTTTGAAGCTTGCAATTTGGAGAAATATGACCAAACTTTCCACACTTATAACACTTAATATCAGCGAGATCTTTCTTTGATCTATTCTTCGTAAATCGAGTAGATTTCCGATGCGCTTTTCTAGTATCACGCTCTTCCTTAGGCCTATACCTAGACCTCTTTTTCTTATACGGGCTATCCGGGTAAGGATACCTATGATATCTATTTTTCTTCTTCCTACTTTGAGTAGAGGTTCCGGGTAAACCGAACTGGGTACAGAAGTCACCTAATTGGGATTTCTCTTTAAGCTTATCAATCTTAAGCTGTCTAGAAAGCTTTAGCTCATTACACAAGTTTAATCCTTCTTGTGTACATACTCCTATAAGTTTACCATAGGTATAATTACCATACTGAATTTCACCGTAACTACCCCTTAATACTTTCCTTACTCTTTCAGCAAATAAGGAAGGGAGGCCGTCTATAAACTTGGCTTTCCAATGCTCATATTTATTCTCGGGTAGTTCCATAACCCTACTCATAAAAGTATCTTTATACCATCTAAATTCACTAAGGGTCTTACATCTAAGCCCATTAAGTAAGGTTCTGATGGTCTCATGATTTGAGGTAAATCTACCATTGAAATGCTCTAAAATTGTAAGGATAAGTGTATATACTGCATCTTCTCTACCCTTAACTAGAGCCATACCTATGTTATCAACACCCTCGTCTACGGCTGTAGCATTAATAACGAAAGCATTCTCTTCAATAGATAAATAGCTATCCCACTAGCCACGAAGTTGGCCAGTAAAACCTGTAACAATCATTTTGCAAATAGTTCTATCCGTATTTTTAACACTTTTGCAGATAGTCGAATACATAAGCATTCTATGTACGAGAATGGTTAATTGTCTATCAGTTAAACCATTAAGATTCCATTCATAAATTTCGGAACCGCTATAAGACGTATTAGTCTGATTCCAATCACGTTCCTCAATCAACACATCTTGAGGAGTAGGATGGGGATAATAGTAAGTTTGCATCCTAGGTTTGTCAGCATACCTACTATTGAGTTTAACTATACCTTTGAGTTTATTAAACTCTGACCATATCTCAGTTTTATAATCAGAAACGGTCTCAATTCTATCAGCAAATTTTTTAGATAAATCAA